AAATAAGTGTGTGTGTGTGTGTGTGTGTGTGTGTGTGTGTGTGTGTGTGTGTGTGTGTGTGTGTGTGTGTGTGTGTGTGTGTGTGTGTGTGTGTGGGTGTGGGTGTGGGTGTGTGTGGGTGGGTGTGTGTGGATGTTGACTTTCCCTTCATTTTGGCTCACTTTTGATTGCTCTGTGTTGGCTGTTTTTATATTCCTTTTGTATCCTGCTTTTGCTTTGCTTTAATCATTTTGTAAACTCTGTTTTTAAAGGTCTTATATGAATAAGGATATTGTTATTGTTGTCATTATGTAATGGTCAGCAGCCTTTCTCAGAAGTATAGTGAAGAACTGATCATGTTTTAGAGATGTCTGTATATTAGTGTCTGTAATTGTGATGATGACGAAAGAACCAGCCAAAACTCAAATAAACAAGAGCTACAGTATTACAGCTGAAAAACAAATATAAAATATACTTCATTATAAATGTTTTACCAAGATATTGATCAAATAACTAAATAAGTCAAAACAAATCACATTTGTTTGGACTACTTGGTAAACCATAATCTTGGTTTCAGATCAATTTAAGGTGCATTTACAGGGACACACTCACTTTATCTAGTTTGATCAATTCCTGCAATAAGTATTTTGATAACCCTTTATGAACGCACAACAGAAAAGTATACAATCTATAATCAAACCGTCAGAAAGAAAACGTCACTTTGGCTCTGTTGCGAACAAGTTTGTTTTAGTGCTTCAAGCCACGTATGATATAGATATGAAAAGCAATAGGAAATAATTCTGCCCTCATTCCAGCTGCAGGATGTGGGGGGGGGGCTCTCACCTGGATTGGGGGACGGTTTTGTCGACGAAGAGGAAGATGGCTTTCTCTGAAGGCAGCTGGATCCGTTTCCTGATGATCCACATGAACTGGGCCACTGTGATGTCAGAGGGCACCAGGTACTTCCTCTTATCGATGTCCACAATCTGAGAGCCGGACACCTTCTCCACGATCACCTGGAGCACACACATTTCAAGAATGAATAATCAGGATTGAGTTTTTCAGGTATTACCTATAGTATATATATATATATATATATATAATATAAAGACATAATATAAAGACATTATCATCCACAAAAAAAGCTCAGAAATGCTCAGTCGTTCACAAGCAAGGGTGGGGCGAGGTTTACCACTTTGAGAACAACTGCGTGAGCAAATAGTCCAACAGTTTAAGAACGTTTCTCAACGTACAATTGCAAGGAATTTAGGGATTTCCTCATCTACAGTCCATGATGTCATCAAAAGATTCAGAGAATCCGGAGAAATCTCTGCACGTAAGCGGAAAGGCGGGAAACCAACATTTAATGCCAGTGACCTTCGAACACTGAAAACCATTGTTGGGGAAATATTTTCCTAGGCCCATAACTTTGACCCCGTTTATCAGTGTGTACTGACCTCACTGAGCACAGGCCTGCAACCTTGGCTGCTGTGCTCTCAGTGTTTTGTCTCCCTGTTCCTGCCTGTTGGCGTCAGCTGATAGAGGTGTTGTAGTGCTTTGCCTGTTGTATCTTGTTATGCAGCATGTTGATTATTCTCTCAGAACCAGCTAAATAAATGGGTCTGGGGTAGAGATCTTCAGAATTGGTTTGGCATCCGTTGTGTCAACTCGTGGCAGCAGCACATGTCCGGCCGAAGCTCCAAATAAACCATCAGTGTTTGCCATCAAAGTTCCTGCTCTCCTTGTTTCTCTCTGAGTTTCGTCTCCATTGCTTCAGAACTTTCCATCACAACCATCGTCAGTAAACACAGTTTGTCGCAACATCTACAGGTGAAGGTTAAAACTCTACCAAAGCCAAAGCCATATATCAACAACACCCATAAACACCGCCGGCTCCTCTGGGCCGAGCTCCTCTGAGATGGACTGACGCAGAGTGGAGAAGTGTGCTGTGGTCTGATGAGTCCACACTTCAAACCGTTTTTTGGACATCGTGGACGTCGTGTCCTCCGGGCTAAAGAGGAAAGGGACCATCCAGATTTGTATCAGCGCAAAGTTCAAAAGCCAGCGTCTGTGATGGTCTGGTGTTAGTGCCCATTAATGCTGAAAGGTACAGACAGGTTCTGGAGCAACATCCAAGCGACCTCTTTCTCAGGGACGTCCCTGCTTATTTCAGCAAGGTAATGCAAAGCCACAAACTGGACGTGGTACAACAGCGTGGCTTCATAGTAAAAGAGTGAGAGTACTAGACGGTCTCCCATTGAAAATGTGTGGAGCATTATGACAGCGGAGACCCCGGACTGTTGGGCAACTGAAGTCTTACATCAAACAAGAACGGGAAGTGGTTCCACCTACAAAGCTCCAGTTCCCAAACGCTTATTGATCAAATGAGTGATGTAACACAGTGGTAAACTTGCCCCTGTCCCAGTTTTATTGGATATACATACAGCTTATCAGTTTGAACCTTACAGATCTTGTCTTTGTAGTGTATTCAATTGAATTTAGATCAAAAAGGATTTGCAAATCATTTTATTCTGTTTTTATTACGTTTTACACAACGTCCCAGCTTCATCGGAATTGGGTTTGTAGTTTAGCTTACTTGGATATATTTGTACTTATATAATATGTGTGTACTTCTCGGACACACCCTGAGCAGGATCAGTAAACTTTATCTAATCTTATCCTAAATTCAAACTTGTTGAATTTACATATCTTGTTCAAATTATGAAGTGGATGAATTTGAGCCGAAACTCCCCCTCCACCCTACTCACCGGTACTCTGTCCGGATATTTGTTGCGTATTTTTGCTGACTCCACACATCGGTGCTCTGAGGGAGAGACGGGAAACAAACAGGAAGTCAGGATTAAAGGGCTGAGAAAGGCCTCCTGGGAGCCTCCCCTCGTCCTCACTGTCAAACACAGACTGACGCAGTGCTCCATGAGAACACCCAGCACAGCCTGGCCAGACAAAGGAGGGGAGGCTTTGGGCAGGATGCAACTTTACACCAAGTGTGAATAATTTCATTCATTTTAGAACTGATAGTTGAATAGGTATGAATCAAATCCACTTTAACAAAGTGATACTAAGCATTTTCATGATCTCTGTCATCATCAACATTCATCTATTTCCAGGACACCTCTGCTTAGTGTGCAGCAAGTAATCCAACATTGTACTTAAGTCAAAGTAGAACTACTACAGTGTAAAAATAGTCAGTTACAAGTAATTGTCATGCATTTAAAATCTTACTAAAGTAAAAGTACAAAGTATCAGCTTCAAAATATACTTGAAGGACCAAAAGTACTAATAGCTCAATTCAGAATCATGAATTGACTGGATTGTGTTGATTGATGCATTAATGTGTTCATCAGGTGGAGCTCATTTTGATTATTTTACACACTGAAAAAACTGAACTGTTGACTTCAATTAAATGTATTATGTCAACAGATTTCACATAACTGTATTAGGTTAGTTGAAAGCAATAATATGAAGTTGAACCTAATATAATTTATTCAAACTTGATATTATTAAATCTGTTGACATTTACATTTAATTAAAGTTCACGTTTCAGTTTTTTCAGTGTATACTACTGCTGAATATCTTAACTTATAATTATTTATCATAGTTTGTTTATATTATTGTTATTAGCGAATAATCTGAATCTGCAATGTAACTAATGTTGTCGAATAAATGAAGTCGAGTAAAAAGATGTGTATGTAACTAAGTACAGTTACTTGAGTACCGTACTTAAGTATAATTTTGAGGCACTTGTACATTACTTGTGTATTTCAATTTGTTGCTACTTTCTACTTGTACAATTCAGAGGTACATGGTGTACTTTTACTCCACTACATGTATTTAATACCTTTAGTTACTTCACAGATGTGGATGAATGATGTGAAATATAATCAAGTGTTAAATCA